AGAGGAGAGTGTTGTATATATAATATTTCATTAAGTAAAGATCAAATTAAGCCTAATAAAAAAAAATTCAAAGAGGGAAGCATTGTACATGTAATATTTAATTATGTTTCGCATAATCAAAACTGTTCTAAAGAGGGAAGTGTTGTATGTATACAATTACATTAAGTTTTATTAATTATGTTTTGCCCAGATGGCTACAAGAACACAATTATCACTTTTTTAATCGAAAATGTCTTAACAACTTAGGAATCGCTAGACACGTTTACATAGAACACTTTTTGAAGGTATTTAAATGATTAGTAATCAGTCGTAGAACCCGTGAAATTACAAATGACCGGGCGCCATGTGAGCTACACTGTAGATCAATGATCGTTATATTAATCAACCGGTATCCTACGTTTCACTAAAAAACTCCTTCAACTCTACAACTCTTACAACACAGGCGAAGTGCATTACTGTATTGCCAAAACCCTTTGTAAATGAAGGCGCTGACAGTTGGCGTTTACTCCCTATAAAGATAGAATAATTAACGATTGAACACATTGAAATTAAAATGTGTTCAATTCGTCTTTTTACAAATAATATAACTATGTATAATAATTCATCGGAATAAGATAAAAAAAAAAAAAACTAACACATGGGCAGAAATAGCTGACTATTTAAATACCTTTTATTGGAAATGTATAACCTTCCGTTTTACGTTTCCACATGTTTGTGAAATAGAATGTTTGTAGAATACGTACTTTAAACCAAACTCGGTCGCCGCGCACCGAGGCTCCGCCAGGCACCTTCTATCGATAATTGGAGTATAGACAGATGCCAAGTAAAGTTCCGCACACTAAAGTTAAGTCACGTTGACATATGCCTAGTCAGGTTGCGCCCACTATGCACCTAACCACTGCAAGTGACGTAGACAGATGCCAAGTCATGTTGCGCACACTATATGCACCTAACCACCGCAAGTGACGTAGACAGATGCCAAGTCAGGTTGCGCACACTATATGCACCTAACCACCGCAAGTGACGTAGACAGATGCCAAGTCAGGTTGCACACACTATATGCACCTAACCACCGCAAGTGACGTAGACATATGCCAAGTCAGGTTGCGAACACTATATGCGCCTAACCACCGCAAGTGAAGTAGACATATGCCAAGTCAGGTTGCGCACACTATAGGCACCTAACCACCGCAAGTGACGTAGACAGATGCCAAGTCAGGTTGCACACACTATATGCACCTAACCACCGCAAGTGACGTAGACAGATGCCAAGTCAGGTTGCGCACACTATAGGCACCTAACCACCGCAAGTGACGTAGACAGATGCCAAGTCAGGTTGCACACACTATATGCACCTAACCACCGCAAGTGACGTAGACATATGCCAAGTCAGGTTGCACACACTATATGCACCTAACCACCGCAAGTGACGTAGACAGATGCCAAGTCAGGTTGCACACACTATATGCACCTAACCACTGCAAGTGACGTAGATATATGCCAAGTCAAGTTGCGCACACTATATGCACCTAACCACCGCAAGTGACGTAGACATATGCCTCACTATATGCACCTAACCACTGCAAGTGACGTAGACATATGCCAAGTCAGGTTGCGAACACTATATGCGCCTAACCACCGCAGGTGACGTAGACATATGCCAAGTCAGGTTGCGAACACTATATGCGCCTAACCACCGCAGGTGACGTAGACATATGCCAAGTCAGGTTGCGAACACTATATGCGCCTAACCACCGCAGGTGACGTAGACATATGCCTCACTATATGCACCTAACCACTGCAAGTGACGTAGACATGTGCCAAGTCAGGTTGCGTACACTATGTGCACCTAACCACTGCAAGTGACGTAGACATATGCCAAGTCAGGTTGCGTACACTATATGCACCTAACCACTGCAAGTGACGTAGACATATGCCAAGTCATGTTGCCCACACAATATGCACCTAACCACTGCAAGTGACGTAGACATATGCCAAGTCAGGTTGCGCACACTATATGCACCTAACCACCGCAAGTGACCTAGACAGATGCCAAGTCAGGTTGCGTACACTATATGCACCTAACCACCGCAAGTGACGTAGACAGATGCCAAGTCAGGTTGCGCACACTATATGCGCCTAACCACCGCAAGTGACGTAGACAGATGCCAAGTCAGGTTGCGCACACTATATGCACCTAACCACCGCAAGTGACGCAAACATATGCCAAGTCAGGTTGCGTACACTATATGCACCTAACCACCGCAAGTGACGTAGACAGATGCCAAGTCAGGTTGCGCACACTATATGCACCTAACCACCGCAAGTGACGCAAACATATGCCAAGTCAGGTTGCGTACACTATATGCACCTAACCACCGCAAGTGACGTAGACAGATGCCAAGTCAGGTTGCGCACACTATATGCACCTAACCACCGCAAGTGACGTAGACAGATGCCAAGTCAGGTTGCGTACACTATATGCACCTAACCACCGCAAGTGACGTAGACATATGCCAAGTCAGGTTGCGCACACTATATGCACCTAACCACCGCAAGTGACGCAAACATATGCCAAGTCAGGTTGCGTACACTATATGCACCTAACCACCGCAAGTGACGTAGACAGATGCCAAGTCAGGTTGCGCACACTATATGCACCTAACCACCGCAAGTGACGTAGACAGATGCCAAGTCAGGTTGCGTACACTATATGCACCTAACCACCGCAAGTGACGTAGACAGATGCCAAGTCAGGTTGCGCACACTATATGCACCTAACCACCGCAAGTGACGCAAACATATGCCAAGTCAGGTTGCGTACACTATATGCACCTAACCACCGCAAGTGACGCAAACATATGCCAAGTCAGGTTGCGCACACTATATGCACCTAACCACTGCAAGTGACGTAGACATGTGCCAAGTCAGGTTGCGCACATTATATGCACCTAACCACTGCAAGTGACGTAGACATGTGCCAAGTCAGGTTGCGCACACTATATGCACCTAACCACCGCAAGTGACGTAGACATGTGCCAAGTCAGGTTGCGCACACTATATGCACCTAACCACCGCAAGTGACGTAGACATGTGCCAACTCATGCTACGCGCACTATATGCACCTAACCACCGCAAGTGACGTAGACATGTGCCAAGTCAGGTTGCGCACACTATATGCACCTAACCACCGCAAGTGACGTAGACAGACGTGAGTTGTAAGGCCGTGTACATGTTACGCTAGTGCTTGTGTGCTTTAGTCATGCTCGTGCGCTGTTGTAGTTGACACAACATTTCAGCAGACTGCAGATGTGAGTAGAATAAGAGACCACCATATTCATACATAACCTGCAATTCCTTTTAATAATTAAATTTACTTTTTCTTTTCACGCGTTTAAGTGTATGCAATATAGAATTTGGTCCTTTATAGCATGTTATTGTTATAAAGATTTGAGATGGCCACAAGTTATGATAATAAATGCGCTTGATACATTTAGTATCCTATAACAATGCATAATTATTATTATTGAAACATTGATGTTTTATGAGTTTTTAAAATAAGAGTGTGTTTACCAATTTAATCGCAGAATGGACAGTAGATGCCAAAGAATTTCTAAAATGCTGCACGTGTAAAAATAAGTAAGAGAACACCGGAAAGCATTTGGAAACACAACAATTTAGGGGAAGAATATTTTATTTCTGTAGTAACCTTAGGTAGTACTTTACTTACAACTTTTTTTCTTAGGTCGAGACCGTCAAAGACTTATGAACACGTGATTTAAGATGTTTTGTTTACTGTAATGTCTGTTAATGATATGACATAAACAGCAGTCTCATAATCAGCGATACCCCCCCCTTCCCATTCTTCCAGCGGGGTTTTTGATAAATGTCACTCGTAAATAGTTGTTTGTATAAATTCGTTTTAATCAGGTCCTTTGGTTATCAGGCTTTACAACAAAGAGACAATACTGCAAGCTTGTTTAAGTTGGCCAATGTAAAAACGACTGTTCATAAATGTGAACTAATTAAAGAGTAGTCAAACTTCAGCTATCTACCTCAATTTGGTTTCAGCTGGTTACATATTTAACCATCGTCAACAGACTAGATCTAGGTCCAGCATCTCTGAGTCGGGTTCGGGCAAAACTTCTTTCATTCAGTTTGTTTAGTCAAATTTCAATAAGGGTAAGGGTAAAGGGTTTCAGATTCAAAGATAGTATTCATTTGTTTTTCATCTCGTCAGTGAGCCTAAATGAACCCACAACTCAAATTTTGTTAGTGAATAACCCCTAGTGATTGGTGGGTTTAGGACCCGTGCCTCTTGGACGTAAGACCCAAATAACCACCTAAAGAGTGGATAAACCTAATTATTGGACTTATAGGTAGGCTACATAGTTTATTTGAACACACTACAACTCAAAGTGTGGATTTTATGAAACTTTGTACAAACGTCCTTTAAACCTTCGCATATTTCGATTAGTTCAAAAACCATTGAAAGGTTGACATTTCTGTTGACCTAAAAACAGTTAAACTACTGAATGGCTCTTTAAATAATTTGCCTAATTTCTTGTTGCATTAATATTCAGATTCCTAGTTATTCTCTCCCATTTTTCGATATTATAAAATAAAATAGGACATTGAGAAATATGCCCAGCCGTACTATTTTGTTGTGACAAATACAGTTAAAAGGTGTAGGCCTGTAACTAATTGAGAATAATGTTAGACACATTTCTTTCTAAAAGTGATCGCATCGTGTATTTTAAAGTTATTGAAACAACAAACGTTTATAATTTCACGAATAATCAATTAACGAAGATAACTTTTATAAATTACCAGACTTCAACAATAGAATCTCCGACACGGTGATTAATTTACGTTTAACAATAGACACTATAAACTGCATGTCTAGGTCTAGCAAAGCACTGTCGGGAATTGTATGACTTTTAGACGTTTTCGTGTAAATTGTCTGGACTCTTTTCTTACAAAAATTTGGTTCTAAGTTTGTTTGTGATAGGTACTCGATCTTGTGATTTTGCACACTTACTTGAAGTTATAGTTTCCGTGATAAAAGATGGTTTACTTATTTCCGAGATTAGTTTATAAACTTCCAACTTTTAAAACTGACTTGAGTCTTTACGTGGTCTATGACAATTATTGATTTACAAATAAGGAAACTTTGCTGACCAATAATAGAAATGGTAAGACAAATTAAATAATTTCACCTTCGGAGCTTCAAATGTCTATAAACGTAACGGCAAGTTATTGATAGGAAAAGTGTGAAGACCTTTGCTTGACGTTTTGTTTGTAACACCTTATGATACAAAACCTGATGATTTATGATTATAAACACTTGAGCTATGTCGATGCATCGACGTTTCATGTATTATTGCTACAACATGCTTGTATATCGGTCTCCTAATAATAATGATGACAACAAAGTATTACCTAAACAGTTCCCTGAGGAAATCACGACGATTTCGTTGCTACGGTTTTAACCCATTGGAAAGTGAGTTAAAAGTGTGTTAGGACTTTTGTGATCACATAGTGACCTTGGGGTGGATTTAATTTGTCGAAAAACTCGAACCCTCCGAAATTACTCTGACGAGTGGGTCGCAACACATGTTGTACTAGTTCAAGGCCACCTGCCAAACACCATATTTCTCTATTGTGCCTTCAACGTCATGTATTTGTTTATTTTAGATAGAGTCCCCGTCACCATCACCTCATAGAGTGTAGGAAAGGGCATCTCTCACGGGGAATATTACAATTTTAATTTTTAACTTTGTTCCCTACATTTAAGATTTTGGATTTTAAAGTAAATGTGTGTAGTTTTTAAACAATTTAAATTTAACTTTTGGAAAATGGCAAGGGGTCGGGGACGACTTTTTTCTTTCAACATTTAACATTAAACCCTTGAATGCAAGTTTTTGATTTAAGTAATAACTATCTTTTCATTTTGCAGAGTTAAGAATTTTTTTAACAACCATTTGTATGTTGAAATAATATAGAAATCTGTGTGTCCTAAAAGTAAGTGACAACAAGTTGTAGCCTACAGTTGGTAGATATTCTTTTCGTTAAAACTCTTAAACACTAGTTTCACAACTTTTAATGGATATCTTCGATGGCCTAAGGGATTTTACTGCGAAGGGGGGGGGAAGGGGGGAGTCATACTAGATAGTTAAGGTTGTTTGTTGGAATAGTTTCATCAAGGTTTCAAGTAATGATTGTATGAAATTTTGGTTAGAGTTATGTGGAGGTGTTAGTTCAAAACCCTACCAAAATCACCAACAACTTTGGGCCAAATGTTGATACGTCCCACAATACCCTATACTAGTAGATAGCAAAATGTTTGTACCTTAGGCACCGTTTACTTGTACTGTATTGTGTTCCTGTGATTGTAACACATCCCTATGAAGCTGTTGGTGTAGTTGTGATTTTTGTTTGAATTTAATTTAATAACTAATTCCAAACAGTTTACAATTTTAGATCTATAATAATAATAATAATGTCTTTACATTGCTCTTTTGACAACCAAAGATTGTATAGCAAATGTCAATCAATACAATAAATACAATAATTAAAATACAATGGTCATTTACTTATAATATATACATATATATGCAAAACAAAATGAATCAATAAACTATAAATCAATAACAATTATTTAATAAACAATGACTAAAAACAAACTAAACCCCCGGGGAAGAAAACTTTGTAATCATAATTCAACTCCAAAGGTATTTTGTGAACTCGTCCACCTCGTAGATTACCAGATTCGTCAACTCTCGCTAGTTTTAAACAAATGGGAACTCTCTAGGCTTTTTAGTTTCTCAGGAAACACGTTAAAGAACTTGACACCTATTTGAAAAGGGAGTGTTGCAAACGCAGCTGTGCGGTGTTGGACAAAGCTAAAATCGTCCCTTGCTGTTGTCCCTTAGTTGTGTCTTGAAGGTAATCTAAATTACCTTAAAACTAACTATAGACTGTAGTAAGTTGTTTTATTGGTTAAAACAAATTTATTCTCTCAGATTTGGGAGAGTTAATCTTTTAAATCACTCTGCCTCCTTTAGGCGATGAACTAACTGTCTCTTTTGAACTATCCTTTTTCCACCAACACCATATTCTGTATACCTTATGCCTCAAATCCTAAGCCTTATGTCTCCTTAATTTTAAACAATCCTTTATTACTCGAGGTTTTTGTAGTGGCAAGGAATGTCCTCCAACCAGTTGGAGAGCCTCTTCAAAGCATGTGACAAGACAGGAACTGGCAAGATCGGATTGGACGATTTCAGAGAACTCTGCATGGAGTTTGACATATTGGAGGCTGATTGTGTTGCCATCTTCAATGACCTGGACCACGACGGTGATGGACAGATCAGCCTGGAAGACTTTGCATGGGGCTTCCGTGACTTCCTCCGCAGTCCTCAGGCCAGGAAAGGATCTGCGATGGAGTTTGAGACTCTGGTGTGCAAAGGGAAGGCGGAGGCGTTGCAGCTAGTTCAGCGAAGACATTCTGAGGCTCGGAATGCTTGGGCCAACCTAGTGGCTGGGGTCGGAGAACCTGCTGTTAGGAAGTTTCTCAATCAGAGGTTAGTCTAGCTACTCTACTTTGCTACATTGACTTTATGAATAGATTTAGTCTCAAAAACAGCTGTTTGCTGCTGACTCAATTAAAGGGATATCACTGCGTACTACTGTACAATAATGAATATTGCTAGACAGCAGCTGATTATAATTATTTTTTTGTTATTGAACACTTCATACATGGTTTATAAAAACAAATAATTATCTATGTGAGAGCAATTTACACTTAACTTAGTTCTATAGATAAAAATCAGAAAAAAGTTTGATACCGTACTAAGAAGTCAAAACTTTCATGGCAGAGAGTGGTTCCCACTTCAGAGAAGCTGCGAGTGGTCGATTCTTAAGTCCTTAAATTGGGGTGTCTTGTACCTATAACAAAGAGGATAGAAAATAGGTTAGAATAGGGTAGTACGGTGAAAAGTATGTACGTCACACAAATGTGCACCATACTTGTATAGTAATCACGCACACTCGCCCAACACCTATTTTTGGACAAGTAAAGTCGCAATATAAGCTGTGGTCAGCCTGAAGTGTCAGATTATTAACTAACCTCTGCTCTGTTGGAAAGACTCTGGGATTGTTTGTCTCATTTCCTCAGGTCAGGTCAATATGTGACCTAAGCTTTTCAGGCTCGCACAGTTTTTGGCATTCAGTTCTTTGGTTAATCTTGCAGTAACAGAGTTCACTGATTTCAATCAAATCTCCTATTGATTGAAGGTAAACCTGCCCACCCTGTTTTGAATATAAGAACTTAGAAGCGCGATTTCTATCTAACAATGATAGCTTTTAATTAGTAGGGAATATCCATTCTTTGTAATACAGTAGAACTCCAATTTCCGAACTCCAATTAACCGAATCTCCAATTATCCGAATCGCTTATTTCAACAATTTTAAAAACGTAAAGCTACAGTAATAAGTTTTGCAAAATATCAAAGAATTGTTATTAAACACATTTAGCCAATTTTGGACTTTGATGGAACACTATTGACTTAATAACATGTATAGAACACTTGTACTATGAGCATTGTAAACTGTAAAAATGTTCTGATTTAAATTATTATTAATTAAAAGTTCACTTAGTACCGAAAATGAGGATTTTTCTTTAAAATTGTCGGAATTACGGTAAAACTCCGATTATCCGAATTTTTGATTATCCGAATGGGGTCTGGTCCCTATTGATTCGGATAATCGGAGTTCTACTGTAGTTCTTACTAAGTCTTTATCATCAGCACATTCATTTACCCTAAACTATTGCAGTAATTGAAAGATAGTCAATCAATAGTCAATAATGAATAGTCATTATTACATCTTTAAACAATACAATATTGTGATTGATTACCACAAAAAACATTTACACCCTAATAATAGGCTTATATGGTTAAAGGTATTTCAGTACTTTTAGGAAGTGACCACCATAATTGCTATTCAGAATCTCAAATCACCTTGTTTTTTTTTGTAATTTATAAGTGATTCTTGACCCTTCAAAATAGCTAACTCAAGTTGTAAAACAAATCTCTCGTTTTATCCTCATTGGCAGTCACAGTTGAGATATGTTGTACAGAGACAGACTGCAAGGTGCAGATAAGTAGACAAGGTAAGATTCATAAGCAGGGCAAGGTTAGTGTTATCTCACTGGAAGAATGAATGCCTGACATTGGAACTACAATGATAACACTGCTTCAAATTTGCATATCTTGCCCATGGAATGATAATTAAAATTTATCACATTTTATATTGACCGTTAAATTGACTATAGAGGTATCCCTCATCAATTATTTGGTATGTATTTGAATAACTTATTTGTTTCAACAAGATTTGCCTTTTACATCACTATATACTATATAACTATGTACTACTATGTAGCCATATACATCAATTATGGTGAAAAAAAGTTCTCCAAAATTATTTCACATCACTGTGACCAAACTGGAGATTTTGTTATTAAAGTATAGGGAACAGAAAAATTTCACTTAACCAAAACTATACTTGAAAAAACAAAATTTTATAACCATAACCTGTGTGTTACAATTTCAGTACCAGCTAAGTTCAGCAAAAGCTTAATTCATGAAGCTACGCTGTTGCAGTTTGCCATATATATGGTTTCAATCTGGTCGATAGCAGAGTTTTATACTTTTCAGTGGCAGTAAGTTGGCGGATCTTTACACAGAGCTGCGTTCAGTCGAGGCAACCCCACAACTCCTGGCTACGTTCGAAGGTGCCATCAGTTCTCTCATAGATGACGTCAAAACTCTTCATGAGGAGAATAAGAAGTTGGAGGACATGTTCAACAGGTGAAATTTGATGTCACATTGATAAGAAAAAAACTTTTGATTGTTGACTTGGGGAATGCAAAAACACTTTAAAACACCGTATACTGTAGTTTGTTAGGATGGTGAATGGTACTCCCTTGCATTCCCATAGTATTACACAACTAGAGGCCTTAACTATCTAGAATTCAAATAAAATCAAAACTTTGTGAGTTGATGGTTCAGTCAGTAGCGTCAAGGACTTCGGGGTCCAAGGCAGCGATGTCGTGGGTTTGGACCCTGATACCTGTCACTACTTTTTATCAGTACAGTTCACCCTTAAACAGATTCAAGGTCATAGAGTCCACCATCCTCTTAAAAAATCATTATTTAGCTTGAAAACATCAATGACGTAGAGTAAATGCAATCCTGCAAATGTTTTTCAGAGTTGGGGCAGTCTAGTGACAGACATTGGAATTAAGGGATATCAATGTTAAAATATTTCCATTGTAGAATGTTTTGTGACTTTGTTTTGAGATTATTAATTTGTATGAGGTTTTAGAGGAAAGAGACATCCAATACAGGGAAAGTGGTTGCTTTAGAGACCTATCAGTGTTAATTATCTTAAATAGGTGAACATTGGGTTGAGAAGGGCTCCGAACAATTACAATCACAAAGTTATCTAACAGCTAAAAGTTCATCGGTGATTACATTAACACATACCTCAAAAGACAGGTTTTGGGATCTTCACCAAACGAGTTACTACTACACCAGAACTCTGGAGAGACTTTAGTGAACAGCTTTTCTCTCAGCAAACAAATCTATGACCAAAGTGTTAAGCACTGCTTGTTTCAAACTAAGTTTCCAAGTTTCTCTATGTGGTGAAACAACTTAGCATCAATGCGTATTTGTTTCAGAGAGCATGAAAGACATATTGGTCAGCTGAGAAACTTGGAGGAAGAGCTTGATTCTCAAGTAGCAAAAGTTGAAGCAAAAGCAAGAGAAGAGGCTAGGCAAAAATTTGAAGGAGAGAAAAAATCCATTGTGAAGAAAATGGAAACTGAAATAATGGAGCTTCAAACTCATTTAAGGCTTTTTAAAAAGGTAAACTTAACTGTAAACTTAGTACTTAATTCTTAAGAACATTAATTCGCTTATAATATAAGTACGTTATTCTTTAAGATCTAAACCATGAAAATTCAACTGAAGATATACGAGGCATGTTTTTTAAGTAAGTACCGTTTTTAAATTTCTCCGTTCCAGCACTGCGATTGGAATTTTCTACATCTGCGCTGTGTATGGGCATCTATTGGTAAGACCTAGCCGGAAATTCGAGAACAATTGGCGGTGTTTACATCCGGTTTCAGGCATTTAAAATGGTGCCACCAATTGAGACTGCCGCCGACTGTGAAGTGCGCGCTGTAATTAGATTTTTAAGTGCTAAAGGTGTAAAAGCTATTGAATATCATCGACAGATTAGTGAAATGTATGGCAAGAACATTATGAGTGACGGAATAGTACGCAAGTAGGTAAGGGCATTTTGACGGCCCCACCAACGTTCATGATGAGCAACGCACTGGGTACGGGGACAGCAATGACGCCGCCCAGTGCGTTACTCATCATGAACGTTGGTGGGGCCGTATTTAAATGCCCTCATCCACTTGCGTACCATTCCGTCACTCATAATGTCCTCGCCATACATTTCACTAATATGTCGATGATTTTCAATAGCTCTCACACCTTTAGCACTTAAAAATCTAATTACAGCGCGCACTTCATAGTCGGCGGCAGTCTCAATTGGTGGCACCATTTAGAATGCTCGAATCCGGATGTAAACACGGCCGATTGTTCTCTAATTTCCGGCTAGGTCTTATCAATAGATGCCCATACACAGCGCAAATTGTGAAAATTCCAATCACAGTGCCGTAACGGAGAAATTTAAAAACGGTACTTACTTAAAAAAACATGCCTCGTAATTCCAAAGGACCACCAGGAGCGTTATATACCGGTAACTCTTAATGCTTTATATTTGTTATGAATCAGAAACTAATTACATACTGTTAACTTCTTGGCTATTACCTTACATATTAAAACTTAAAAGGATTTTCAATGAATGATAAAATGAAGATATCACTTGGACTTGACATAATCAACATTGATTCAACATTTTCTCCTTCCATAAGTATTCTATATAAATATCCAATTGGACTTAAAGTAAAGAAAAACAGCTTATCCAAATTAATGATTACTTGACACGTTGCCTACCAACTGTCACACTCCTCTGTATGAGTGGTCTCGTGTCATCTGGTGGTGAATATGTTAAGACACTTATTCTATCCCACTTATTTATGACTCTTATTCTATCCTAGTTACTCCATTTTGATAATGTAAACTGTAAGCTCATATTACAAGTTGTGTCTGGTGTTTCCAGATTGCTATCTTGTTGTGAAAAACATAGAAAGTTTATTTTTGTACACTACCTTTTAGTTGGTTTGATGTGAATGCATCTTTCTGAAAAGTTTGCTCTGATCCTCCCAGGTAAACAACGTCCTGACTGAGAGGAAGGAGAAGGACAAAGACAAGGACAGAGATTTGTCTGATGAATCGGAGGAGGAGAGGAGACAGTTGAAGCTGATGTTGGCAGATAAAGAGGCAAACTTGGCCATACTCAGTACTGAGATGGCACAACTACGCACAGAATACGAGGGCAAGTGCATGCAACTGAATAGGTAACTAATCTCTTTAATACTACTTTGGAGAAAGGGACTTCACCCTTAAACCACGGTGGTGAGCTATATAAGGATGGAATAGTACTTTTTATAAAAACTTGATGTCTAGCACAAGCTTTATTCTTAGCAACTAACTGCTGGCTTGTTGGGGTTGGATACAAGCGTGAGAGAAAATACAGGCACTACACAGATGAAATATTAGTTTAATTAAAGAATGTTCTCTTACAGCTTCTTCTATGTATATTCCATGTTAAATATTATTATAGCTACACTTTTATGCTTGTAAATTTTTTTAGATAGTTTTGTTTAGCTATTGCCACATCTTTTAAAGAATGGTTAGTGTGGAAACAAGTCAGTTCACAAACTTACGCACATATTTTGTTGCTGGGGAATTGTTTAATAAGGAATTTTAAAGTTTGTAATGTTTTAATGATTAGTATCAATATGTTTGTTTATATATTTAAACCTACATGACACCTAGATGTCTTAACAAACTTTCAATTTTATTTTAAACAAATAAACAATGTATAACTGTAGATATATTAAAAAAATACATTGTTGAATCTTAATTACCATAATTAACTGCATACTGCGATTACACCATCTTTCATTTCTTAAAATAAAATGCCTCTAAACAATGTTGCCTTAAGAAAAGACTCAATCAGTTCATCCAAATATTGGAAACAATACATCATCATTGGTGGCGAGAAAAACTCAGAAGAATTATCAAAATTAACATATTTTATTTAAATGTATTACTTTCATCGATAAACAGATTTTCAGTCGAGCGAGTGATTAAGTAATTACTGTTGTTCTACAGTCAACACGCCACACTTTGCCAGTACCAGAACCAAACCGACCAGATCCACCAGAAACTACGCATGCTGCAGTGAGTCAAAACAAATTACTTCTATTTTTTTATTATGTTTTGGTGCTACTAAGGATATAATCAAATACATATGATAAAAGTACTCAATATTTCCACATTTATACAGTAAATATTTACACAACATCTATACTCATTGGTGAAACTTTCATTGGCTATAGATTTCACCAATCACACTAGTCATCAAACACTATCAGAGACTGTGACAATCTCCATTGGAAGATGTAATAATATTTTTCTTCCTACCACTGCATGGAAATGATCACATTTCACATCTGTAAACAGTACGCAAAATAGCTCATTTCCACTCTAGAGCAGGAATGGATTATTTGCGCCCGCTAATCAGCTGATTTTACAATTGTTGGCGTTCCTACACCAACCACAGCCGCGGATCCGGTACATTAACGACCGGTAAGCAAATAACATAACCTAAAAAATAAACGTAAAAATAATCTAAATGACATTTTTTATAGGCTTCAACTAAAAAGTTTATTGTTGTGTTATGATGAGTAATTATGGTGGTGGAAAAATCTTGTGTGTATTACGAACACAGTCATTGCCGCTCTCAAAATGTATATGACACAGTTCTCGAGCGGCAGAGATGTAATTTGCGCACACTTAATACACAAAATAGTTATTTCAGTTTCAAATAACAATTAAACTCATATAATACTCAATTTTGAGAAGTTTTTTTCAGTTTGTTTATGTAAACCTTTGTTAGTTCAGCAATGTAATTGAATCAATAAAATTTGTTTTTAAAGATATGGTACCTGCTATATTTATAGTTTAGATAATAAAAAATCTATAATATTCTGTAAGTACATCTGTTATTGAGTTGATTGCCGTTATAGTACAGCTGATCGCAATATACAAATAACCTTCAAACCAACACACAGACTCAATGAATTTATGTTGCCACATTTGTTTACTTTTATTAAACACTAGGTAAACTTACATACTGTGCTCTTTGCAACTGTGTGAAAAATTATGAATAATAAATCATTAAAAGATTGAATAATGGTCAAATATACTATCATCTATAAATTCTATTAACTGTTACTGGATGCTTGTAATAATTTTATTTATTGCACTATGGAGATATTATGGAGCAAGTTGTTTTGGAGTGTGTTGAAATATTTTTCAAGCGCTCATGTAAAGCCACTTTTCTGTTTAACCATAAAATGAATAGTTCAGTAAAACCTCAGATTGAAGAGTAGATCTACCGTCTAATCCCTTTAATGTAAGCCGAAACTTAGGTTTTATTCTTAAATTGCTACAGCAAATTTATTTTACTTGTTTTGCATTTTATTTTGTACAACAGTTTTTTTTTTATCTTTGTGGTTTATTGTAAATGATAATTATACAATTTAAAGACAAATCTGGTAATGGAAACAGATGTTGTGGTGGTCTGCAGTTGTGTTTCATAGATGAGTTTTAATATTGGCGAGTAACTTTTACTTACGCATTTTTCCGCTTTTATACAAGTTCTTGTTTGATTAAGATAGCCTTCCTCAGAAAATGCAAAACTGAGCAGAGCCTTATTTTAGGGGACATTTTGCTTTCTGTAATGTGGAAAACTTTTAGTTGCCCTAATAGCTTATATGTAAGCAATTTCAGTCTCCAACGCAAATTTCACCATTCCTCTTAAAAGAAAATATATTTTATACTTTTAGCAAATTTCTCATATGGGGAATAAGCTATTACCGTAGGTCTTATGGTAAGACCTAGACCCGGGATTGATTTACTTTTTCGTTTTGAGGTCCCCAGAGGCCAAAAACACCATCCGTTCAAATTAATATATATACAGCATATACATATATGTGTCCGTTAGCGCGATAACTCGAGCAAAAATTATCCGATTTTGATGAAATTTGGTACAAACGTGTAAACCTACGTTTTTTCGAATGATTTCGCGAACCAGCATGATCGGACTATGAGAATGTGGGTTTATGGGGAGTTTTATGGGGTAAAAATATATTTTTCCCATTTTTGACTCTTAAAACACAAAATTTCATAATTTCTATCCAAACCATTTTGTAGAGCTTAAAAAAAAACTTTGTACATTGATGCGTTGTTGTATGCCCAACGGTTACCGAGATAATTAAAAAAATATTTTAATTTATAATTCCCATGTCATTCTTATGGAGAATAAATAAACTGTTGTAGTTTGCTTGTTTATGGATAACTAAATTTGGAAATTTGGTATATTTCATACTAAGCTATCAAAATTGCAATAAAAAAACACACCTCAATATCTTCCCTGTAGCAGTAAACCTAAGTACTTACTAAAATTAATATTATTTAATTAGGAAATAAATCTGACAATTTTTAAGGAATATTTTAGTAGAAATTCAGCCAGGTAAATGGAAATTCGCTTAGTCTGCAGGTTTGCTGTGGAGGGGGTATTAATTCTTCTATCCGCTTAAACTTAAAATTTATTAAAATCCATTCTTATTCTTAAGTAAGAAAGCCAAATTTGCTCAAGAGACAGGATATTAAGAAAGCTGTATTTAGCTTTGAAACATACCTATAGATTTATGTCGTTATATAGAATTATGTAAGTTGTTATTAACCAATAATGAAAGACGTCATGTTAAACTTGAGTCTACGTTATTTGTATTGTCATTAGAAAAAATTATTATCTGTAATTGCAGGAGAGCCAACAATAAGCTGCAAGATACCAACGACAGTCTTCTGATGATCATGGATACGGGAGGTCGTTCCCCAGCATGCTACAGCCCTGCCTCCTCCATAGACTCAGACGATCATCTCCGGAAACCAAAATGGTACTAACAATAGGACTACCTTGAAACAAGTAGAACATGATAAATGCAACTAACCTTGTTAACAAGTTTTAATGTATTGTATACATAATGGTTTAAATACTTTTTACTGCCAGAGGTTAGGTTTTTGTAGGAAAAAGCACTTGGGTTAGGGATACATTAACACGTTCCCTGCGGCACCTCAAATGGCGGGCGTATCCCCAGTGCGGCGCAGCCCTCAGCGTCGAACAAACCCGATTGCCGCGTGTGATTGGCTTTCCAATTTTGGTCTGACGTATAGCAAATAACGTGCGGGGATGTCCTGCTTTACAACGAGAGTCGACGTAGTTCGCTAAACACCCACAGATAGCAGCACTGCTTGGAACGTAGCCGGTCCCATTGTAATTGAATTGCCAAATGGAGGGAAAAAGACGGGACAAAAAGTTGATTTTTGAGATTGCCTGACGGGGATTTTACGGGGAAATGTACTACCAACCTACACCACAACAAAATGCAAGTCAGATACTACACGCTAACGTGGTATAGGTCAACTTTCGGCCGACGCTAGAGCAAAAACGAAGATATACAAAAGGCATTGTCGACCATTCCCGATGGGGTACGGACGCACCGGACGGGGGCCAAGCACCGTACCCGATCGGGAACGGCCGCACTCTACATGTTAAGGAAAAAGGAATGGAGTTTAACTTACCTAAGAAAAGAGTACCAGGCAGTTGAAAACACTAAGAATGTTCACATCTCAATGATGATATTTCGCCCCTAAAACGGGCTTCTTCAGAAGAGAGAGGTAGAAAAGCTTCTTTTCTCATTCTAATTTTTCCTTCTGAAGATACTTAGCGGCAAAATATTAGTTACCGTATTGTAAGTTATTGAATTGTAAACTTACTTTCTGGTTTTGACTACCAGATACTCCTTATGTAATTTAAAATCCATTACTTTGTTGTGAATCCGTCAAAGTCTAGATTACCGATTTTGACTCTCAAAGGGAGTCTTTGTCATGACACAAGTTGTCATTTATTCATTTAGAATACATCAGCTTTTAATATAACAATAAAACAAAAAAATACAAACAACAACAAAAAACAAAACTTAAATATTTGGCGAAGTATTTAAAACAATTATGAAGATGTGCGGAGATTGGTTTTGACTGCTCTGAGGCACTGTGAGACACTGGAATCTTACTGATTTTGTTTAGATTCTTAAGTACTTAAATGGATTAAAATTAATATTTTCGACTGACACTCCTTTGTGGATCGCACCTCAAAATACTCTTTTTTTCAAATGCCCCATTTTTCTCATGAGTTGTGAAAGGCCTTGACAGCTCTTAAGTGAATTTGTATGTTTAAGATGACATTTTAGCTTTAAAAGTGGTATATGCTATATGAATAAAAAAAATGTATAGTTAATTTAACGTTAAGTGAACATGTCATTGAATAACCCATAAAATATTTGTTTACGCCAAATAATTTCTTTTCATGTTCAGAAAATATCAACACTTGTTCCACAAAAAATATAGTTTAAAATCAGTCAAAATAAGATGCTTAGAATAAATCAGTACTTGATTTCTAGTTTCAATTTGTTTATACTGCACTTTCTGTTCAAGGGCCATAATGGATCATAGGACTCCCTCCCCACATAGCCAAGTCGGGGACAGCAACTACTTCATACCAGTTCCTGAATATACTGTTGAATATGGTAGGTGCAAAGTTAACACCTGATATATGTTTACATTAAATGTCACAATCTGAACTAACAATATGAGGAACAATTTAATCATTTGACAAACTAACTTAAGTTGTGAAAAGTATTCATTCAATGGATTTCCTTAGAGGCTGGATGAACCAAAAAGAAGTTGTCACTATATAATAAAATTAGCCCTTTGGCAATCCTGTTGTCTCTCTCCTTGTTCCCTCCTTACTCCCATAATCATCTTGGTGTCATCTCTCTTAATACTTGGAGCCTAGATTCAAATTCAAATTCAAATTCAAATAGTTTATTGCCATTAAGTATACATGTCATACAATAGGCCAGGTCAATGGAGATAATATACAATTCAAAGTACAATGTACAGAGTCAAGTGTAAATAGATGAACATGCTATACTAATAAACTAATAATACTGGGTTTTTGTACAAAAGTATTTGAGATGTATTGATAATGATGATAATAATACTGTTTATAGTTAAGCAAACAAGTTGGGTAAGTGCCTATAACAAAATAATTAAGGCTAAAATTGGCAGTAAGATACAGCTTAAAACTAAATAACAATAAATTTTTAAATAAAGTTCACAGAAATAACATTATTATGAAAGACTATTATATCACAGTTCATGAAACCATTATTACATACTTTAGAAACAATACCCTACTTAAAAATTAGAATTTTACAGAAAATCATCATGTTTGAAAGATAAAAATTCCTCGATAGAGTAGATAACCTTTCTGTTCAAAAAATCGGTCAATACATTTTTCAGTGACTTAATAGGCAAGTTGCGTACATTTTCAGGGAGGGCATTGAAAAGTTTAAGTTGTAAATATTTATAGCTGCGCTGTGTTGAGGCCAGTCTTAATGATGGTAACTCCAAATTATTCCTTAGTCTGGTGTAATGATTGTGAGTTAATGAGCGAGATGAGAATTGTTCAATATTTGTTTTTACAAAAATGATATTCCGCAAAATGTACACACTTGGTAAAGTAAGAATTTTGTATTCAGGAAAAAAGGTCTTACAACTAACTCTACTTTTTATGCCAGCTAGGATACGGATTGCTTTTTTCTGTTTTTTAAAAACGTTAACTGCCCCACTACTACTGCCCCACAAAATTACCCCATAAACTAAGTGACAATGAAAGAATGCATAATAAACATTAATTAACATACTTAAACTAACATGATTTTTCAACCTCCTGAGCAGAAACAAAGAGTTACTTAACCTTGCAACAACCATTTCAGTATGACTACGCCAAGATAACTTACAGTCTAATATGATTCCTAGCAGTTTAGCATTTGATACTTCAGATACAAGATTTGTCTGTGAAAAAATAATTGAAACAGTTTTGTCATTGTTTGCTGAAAATTTATTTGCCTTAAACCAACTATCGGCTGCTATTTTCATCTCCTCAGTTTTAATTTTTACCTCTTGCAAAGATTTGCTTGAGACTATTAAGGAGGTGTCATCTGCATACAGTACTGATTTTGAAGGAAGATTAGATGGAAGATCATTTATTGCAATTAAAAACAAAAAAGGGGCCAAGTACAGAACCCTGGGGTACTCCTGCTGTGACTTCTTTCCACTGAGAGGTTTTATTGTTGGCTGATACCATCTGATATCTATTTCCTAAATATGATTTAAATAGATCTAAAGTTTTATCTTTTACACCATAGTAACTTAACTTATCAATCAACAGGCTATGAGAAACACAATCAAATACTTTACTTAAATCTACTAAAGTTAACTCTAAAAAAGCGTGTGATTCAAAAGCATTCAGAATGTCATCAACAACTGACTTACAAGCATCGATAGTTGATAAACCGGCTCTGAAGCCAAACTGGGAGTTGCTTAGAAAATTATGATTACTAAAAAAGGCACTTATTTGGTTATAAATACAACACTCTAGCAAATACCGGGACAAGCGCAATCGGTCTGTAATTTGATGGACATGAAGTGTCGCCTTTCTTGTGAATAGGCACAACTTTTGTAAGCTTAAGATTATTTGGAAAAACACCATTTTGTAAAACTAAATTGATAATGAATGTCAGAGGAGGAACAAGAGCATACTTGAGTTTTTTTACAATGTTTGTTGTTAAACCATAACAATCCTTGCTGGTGGAGTTTTTCAGATTATTGATGATTAAGTCTATATCTTGTGGAAATACATGCTCCCACATGAAGTTAAGATTTTCAGTATAACATTGCTTTGGATGATTATTAAGTAAATCAAAAGAACTAGGCCTATTTGAGTTGCAGAGTGCATTGTTGTTTGAACCATCAAAATTTGCTACATTGACAAAAAAGTCATTGAAGTTGTCAACATCTATAATAGGGTTGGATTTATTTTTATTAAAACTACCAGATTCAGACTTTATAATATTCCAGGCCTCCTTACTTTTGTTATCACAAGTATTGAGTTTATGGTCATTAAACTTCAGCTTTGCCTCTTTGATTTTGCTTTTGTACATTTTTTTGCACCTAACATAAAACTCTCTATTCTATTTATATCACCTTCTACCATTAATCTGTTGTGAAAAATTGTCAAAAACTCCCTTATCTTTGCAAGTTCAGGTGTAAACCATTTATTTTTATTTTTCTTAGGTCTAGAGTGGATTTTACTGGATTTAATTTTTTTTACAGGACAGAACTCATTGAATTGACAAAGAACTACATTTAAAAAATAATCAAAGGCCTCGTTAACATCATTAATACAAAACAAGTCACTCCAGTCAGTGTTCAATAAACATACATTTAACCTACATAAACTATCATTAGTTACTTTACGAATTTCTATGAGATCATTATTTTGACTAGATCTAGCATTAACAAAGCCATCTAAAATATTCATATTAAGTGAAAAGTGGTCAGAAATTTTATAAGGAACCAAGTCTTGAAGATGTGAGTAGACTCGGAGTTTTGAAACCTTCCCTCCAAGCTTTAATTAATTATCTATTCCTATTTTATCTATTTATAAGAAGGATCTAGCTAAGTTGAGTGAGCAATACATCTGTTATAGAAACGTTGCACAGCGACCAAAGATGAGGCTATTGAAATCATCAGTCTTTAGAGAAAATCTTCCTAACACTACAACCATCCATCTCCAAGCTTCAATCTGGCCAAGAGTAGGGACTTGATTGATCTTTAACTATTTTAATGCCTCAGAGAGACAAAAGGGAACAAAGTTGCAAGGGATGTTGTATAGCCAATTAAACTGGCCAAATATTGTATCAACTATACCTTTTCTTTTAAACCAGTCTAGAGCCTAACAGAGAAACAATTAATAATCCTCTACCAAGATAGCTTTGTATCCTCACCAGATTTTGACAGTTATATTTAAAATGATAAACTCATGATGAAAATTGTACATGATTTAGCTGACAGTGGCCGTTCTACCCTACGAGAACAAATGGATTACGATTTGGACAGCCACTCTTACCTCGAACAAAGCCGTAACAGCGAAGGAGAATATCACAATGTAAGTAGAGTTTGTCAGAACACACAAAAATATGTTGGTATTTAACAAAAAATAATAACTTCGTGGCTAGGTTTCTAAAGGCACATATTGTTGATTCATCGTCTTAAGACGACGACCATGTCAAAATAAATTAAACACTTTCTTCACCAACATTTTGGCCTGGATGTAGAATGCCATCTTCAGGGCGACTTGAGCTCTGCACAGTTGATGTATCGAATAACTTTGACACGGTTGTTGTCCGAAGACGATAAAATCTTTAAACATAATAACACTGCTACTACTGGACTTAATGAAATGTTTAGATTAACCTTTTCAAATTTAGGTAAAACTCTGATAAACTAGTTTGTAATGAAAAGTTTAGTATGGTTAAAAATGGTTTGATTTTCCAAACTTCTCTCAAAGTCCCTAGTTACCTTACCTTACTGTTCGGTTTTGTGATATTTAGTTGAGTGTAGTGTTTGGTTTGGAAACAGTATTATAAATAAGTAATTTTAATGATTATTTCTTTATTTTAGTTTTGTTACCTTGGTTTTTGGATGATTTCCCTCAAGTTTCTTGAATGCTATCAACAAAAAATTCACAGATTGTGTCTTATTATATGGTGATATGGTTATATGGTGTCTTATTTTAAGATAAAATGTATCAATGTTTAGCAGAATCGTATATATTAACTCTCTCCTCTTTTTGTACACACTTCCAGATAAGTTTAGAGGAGCAGAATATCACTGCAACATCCACCAATAAACTCGTGGACAGCTTGGGAAGTGGGTTCTGTGACCTAGAACCGACCGGACCTCCAGATAGAACCTACAAGATCGTATTTGCTGGTGATGCTGCGGTCGGCAAAAGCTGCTTCATTCACAGATTCTCCAAGGGTATCTTTGCTGTGAACCTGGGCTCCACTTTAGGTAAATTTATCTTTAACCTTCAATAAGTTATGCATAGAAGTTTTTATCTATATTTGTAGTAGTTGAATTGTCTATTTTTTTGTGGTGTAATCCTACAAAAACACTTGGGGTTTAAGTATTTTATCAAAAAATAATCCACCTCGGGGATAAATCATTGTATCTTTTATTTCAAAAGTTAAACTATTATTTAAAATTTGTAGAGCTACATCACATAACAAATTATAGCCTATACATATCAACAATTATATTTGAAACCTATACTATGACGCAACTACCAAAGCAGATAAATAATTGTTGGAATTAAGTGTATCATTCGAGAAATCCTTAAATTCAATGGCATCTAATAGTTCATTCTTTCAGCCTGCATGACTATATGCCAGACACAGTTTTCAATGTTACACAGTTTTTTGTATATTTTCAATTTCATTATTGTTTTGGATAAAAAGAGTTAAGGTTTCATCAAGCCTATTGTCAAGTTTCGTACAATTTTTGTTTTTGAAGGATGGTGATCAGTGAATGAGCGAGTTTGAGTTAAGTATTATAACATTATTGTAGTGGATGAAGCATTAATGTGCTTCTTGTTTGTACAATAGAGCACCGTGCAAGTGTGTGTTCAAACAGGTGTTGCTTCCCTATACACAGATTAAAAGTCGAATAAACTGTTATTCGTTTTCCAGGTGTGGATTTCCAAGTGAAGACCATCAGGATTGACATGAAGAACATTACTCTGCAGCTCTGGGATACAGCTGGTAAAATAATACATGTTTCAACCTGCTTGGTTTGGATAATATCTTTTGAAATTGATCATGTATTAAAAAGTTATTTGCAGGGCTAAATAAAGGTGACGTTGGAGTCGAACAATTCTAATAAATTGTTTACAGTCAACTAGATATCAGTGAGGGTTTTTTTCTGTAGTGTAATTTTTAAAACTTGTAAAAAATCATGTTGAAACCGTAGCATTGGGCTTATTAGAGTACTAATATTATGCCAGTAGTGTTAAGGACATATTTGAGACATATGAGTGCTGTGGATGGCTCAGGGACTCAATCTGAATACATGTATCTTTTATACTCTAAAACCCTTTTGTGAAACTTAGACTAGACCTAATTGTCTTTACATTTAGTTGTAAGAAATATAATAGAATATTCAGCATGAGCTGACGATTAGTTGTTATGATTTTTTTCAATTCTAAATTAAAACACGTATTTTCAGGCCAAGAAAGGTTTAGATCCATGACGAAGACCTACTTCCGCCGTTCTGACGGGGTAATTCTTATATACGACACAACAAATGAGCGATCCTTCTTGAATGTTCGGCATTGGCTGCAGTCAATAGAGGTGAAAATATGTTACTTTGTCTGCTGATATAAAATAATTTTCCTTCAGTTACCTGACAAAGTGGGCTTTCTCGCACTGATTATAACACGCAAAGTAGCTAGTTTCCTGCATTTACTTACTTTCTGCTCTCATTTTACTTTCCCGTGCTCCAGTATTTAACTAAATGATACCAAATAGTGTGATGGTATTAGACACATAATACATGTATGCTTGAAAAAAAAAATTGGTAACACTACTAAATCAATCAGCTGGTGCAGTGTTTATTTGTCATTCAACGCCTTGGACTTAGAACTAACCTTTGACTATTGATACAACTATTTAACTTAACATATAAACCTGTTGCTACATGTTAACATATACATTACAAACCAAAAATTGTATTCAGATTTTGATTCATTTATGGTATGTTTGTAAAATTTCATTAAATATTTTATTCGCTAATTTGTGAAACAATTTCATTTAGGTTTTGATTTGTTTGTGAGACAATTTTATTTAGGTTTGAGTTTGTTAATTTGTGAAACTGTATGGTAAAATTCAACCTTTATATACATATACAATTACACATTATTTATATGCTTTTTGGTAACTGTAGGAAAAATATAATGTATAAGAGTGCAAAGTATCTTTGCTGCATTTGAGAGGCGGCTCATGAAATTTTCTCGAGTGCAGCAAAATACCGCTTTGGACACTAGTTACAAAAATAATTATAACTGTACAGTACAAAAAATGTTTGCGGATGTAATTTAATTTAAAGACAATTACAAAGTAATGAGGTGGTCAAAGGGTATAATTTACTTTTACTAAAAGCATTTTTATTCTTACACAATACCGTTTATCTGTTTTACTAAACTTACTGTTCCGAATTTAACAGATTTTGTAACCTATACATTAACATTTCATTAGGATTGTTCAACAAAGAAAATTCCTATTTACTTATGCGGAAACAAAGTGGATCTTCGAGAGGAGGCAAAATTGAAAGGAATTACTTGCGTCTCTACAGAACAAGGACAGCGGATGGCAAAGGAAAATGGAGCCATCTTCTATGAAACCAGCTCAAAGACTGGACACAACATCACCAATGTCATCGTATCAATTTCAAGGTACGGTAAATAAATTTCAGGTAAATTACCTTTTTCTGTTCCGTGTTTTCTCGAGTAAGATGTTTGTGTATCATCCAATACATTTCACCAGTTTGTGTGGTAACTTCAAGGAGTGTTCTTAAGCTATATTTGTATCACTAACTGTTTTCAACATATTTAAAAATATTTACGTATGTCAGTGGCATAGTATCGGCTCGAATGACACGACAACACCTTGAAATAAATAATACACATAGTCTAAAATAAAAAGACAACACCAGCTCTACGATTTCTAAATTAACTTACATCATTGAAACCAATAAAAAAACCTGCAACACTACAGAGATCAATGAAAAAATACCTCCCCCTCACTTCATTGAGTGTGCGTGTGTAATTATTTGTAAATAAATAAATAAATATTATATACATACATATATACAAATATACATATATACATATATATATATATATATATATATATAGACAATAGTGTTAGTGGTGTGATACACAAACATCTTGCTCAAGAACACACGCAACAAAAAGGTAATTAATATAATTCAAGTTCTTTAACTTGGGATAAGCAAAAACTTTATAGTGTCTTAAAACTGTGGTCAGAGTTTCAGAAATACATTAAGATGAGAATAAAGCTTAATCTTCTTTTTTAAAGCATTAAACATATGACTGTATATATGAATAATTTGTTATCATAAAAACCATGTAGGTCTACAATTTTCTAATTTATGTAATTACAATAATTTTATATAACTATTTCAGTGCTGCAACTTATTTTCCCTGAGAAACTGAAGATTTAAAAATCTTTGCCACCGAGACTGATATTCGAATATACAATAGGTTACGTACCCTGTTCCTGAGTTCTGTCGTGTCCGCCGTGTAACCTGCGTCGGTTTGTCCCGTATTCAATGTGGCCGGCCTATCGTATTAAATGTATTTGTAACTTTTGTTTTTTAAATGTGTAAATTTTATGTGTCGTCGACCTGCATGTATACATTGATGAAGACTTACGTCGGATTTTGACCATATTCAATATGATGTTTTAAATAAGGATTTGATAATGGGTCTTTGTACCCGAAACTAGTCATCCATAGACTTAAGTTAAGACTGAAGACGGAACAAGGTACGTAACCTATTATAAACTGAAGATTTTTCAGGATATTCTCCGGTGTATATCTTGAAATAAGATGCACTGGGATTTAAATAATTTATTCACTTTAACTCTCACACTGGTTTTGAATTGGAATCTGTCAATGAATCTTTACACAAACGCATATTTTCAGAGACATGCTGACTTTAGAAGATGATGAGGTTCTCTCCTCAGGACTTGTACCTTTAGGCAAGACAGTAGATAAGAAGTGCTGCTGAATGATGATAAACACTTTGGATAGCACACTGACATTGAAAAAGCTTGTATCCTTAATTTTAGTACCATCACAATCATTTACACGGGATGTAGCTTGTAAGACAAGTGCCTATCTAAAGTAAAATATAGTGTTAACACAAAACTCAATGTTTGGAGGAATGGAAAGGGAATCTTTAAGTTGAACCTTATACAGACATAATATCAAAGATATACATAGTTGTACATTATACAAATGCAACAAAAATTCTAATAATTTACTGCTACTGGATTCAAGTGTGAAATCATTATTATTTCACTGTAAATAAAATGTTTAGTCATATTTTTATTTTTAAGAAATCATGTTTTGATTGATTTTGCTTATTTTTGTTGCTTTCATATGGTTTGTTAGTTTATAACGAGCGTTAAGATGAATTTGATCTCACCATAGTTTGCCTATAACTTTACGAGGAACACATAATATATAATAAAGTAAATGTTTCATTGTCAAAATTCACCCCCAATTTCTTTATTGGATTTAAGTTGAAATAAAAATAAGTTTAGATTTAACAATATAATTGTGTATTAATTTAAAAAACAATGTGAGCATTAGACAAAGCTTAGTGTTATGACACAATTTGTAAGGAATAAGTTAAAATAAACATTTGACTTTGAAGTGAATCTTATTACTACACCCAAATTCATACACGTTTTGTTTTTATTTTAGTTTTTCTTTAGAATTTTTTTTAGGTATATAGATTGTCAGTTATTAAATTCATTGATTCATTTGAGACATTTAGGAATTTAATCATACCCAAAGCGGCTTGAAATTAATTAATTATATTGAGCCAAGCTCGTCCAGTGTTTGAGTTCCATATTCAAAGCCTGGTAATTAATCACTGATGAAATTAGTGACATGAAACATCTGAAAAAAAAACAGGGTCTCTGGCTTGGCCGTGGAAGTTTATTCACTTTGGTTAAATATTTAATCGACCAATCATAACAAATTTTACCCCTGTGAAGCAAGACATGCCTATATTGGGTGATGCAACCATATTTCTTAATGAAATAAGAAATAAAGAGAATTGTCTATTTGTCTAAGTTGACAGTATAATTACTGAGTGTGATAGAAGCTGCACCTTTTTGGTTTTGTTTTACTGCTCTATAGTAGAGGAGGATACAGTTTTTTTTATTTTCTATTTGCTTTTATTGTGATTAAATAGAGGCACACCTTGTGGAACTACATATGACTTAAAGGAAATAAAAAAAACTTCAAAAATATAATAATACAAGAAACCATAAAAAAATTCCTGCTAGCAGGTTAAAGTTGTTAAATAAATTTACTCGGCATTGGGTATTTAGATACTCTGTAGTGTCTTTAACAAGTTTTATTAAAAATGTACAAAAAAGTAATTATTTTCTGTAGAATGAATAGCCTGTATCTCCAGTCCTGAAACAGCCAATTTATACAGTAGGTGGATTATTTAAAGCAATGTAAATAATGTACAATATAAAGTGTTTAACAATTTACTCGTATAGTGTTGTGTCTGACAGTGATTCTACTTTCTAAGCGTGAAATTCAAGATATAACATATTAAGCCAAATAAAATCTTGATGGTGATTTGAATGACATTGTATAACTTATTTATGACATGAGTTTGATCGAACTTATCCAAAGGTGGATAGATATGATCATGTGTAAGGACATAAACAAATATATGACACTTTTGGGAGGGTCTAAGATATCAGCAGAAGGATAAGAATCTCCTTCTATATTAAACTGCTCACATGATTAATTTATATCAAATATCTGAAATATGATAAGATTAAACCTATTCTCTCATTTGAACAATATTCAACACAACAATACAAGACATGTATTCTAAAAATTGGTGTATAAATCTGTTATAAAAAGAGAATAGGTTCTGATTCCACACAGAAATCGACGTAATCAGGCAAATATATAGTTGTATTGTTGGGAGGTTTGGCTTTACTTACAGTGGACTGGAGAGTGTATAATGAGTCTTGCTGGAGGGTGTGGCTTTACTTACAGTGGACTGGAGAGTGTATAACGAGTCTTTCTGGGAGGTGTGGATTTACTTACAGTGGGCTGGAGAGTGTAGAATGAGTCTTACTGGAGGGTGTGGCTTTACTTACAGTGGACTGGAGAGTGTATAACGAGTCTTTCTGGGAGGTGTGGCTTTATTTACAGTGGACTGGAGAGTGTATAATGAGTCTTGCTGGAGGGTGTGGATTTACTTACAGTGGACTGGAGAGTGTAGAATGAGTCTTTCTGGGAGGTGTGGATTTACTTACAGTGGGCTGGAGAGTGTAGAATGAGTCTTGCTGGAGGGTGTGGCTTTATTTACAGTGGACTGGAGAGTGTATAATGAGTCTTGCTGGAGGGTGTGGCTTTACTTACAGTGGAATGGAGAGTGTATAATGAGTCTTGCTGGAGGGTGTGGCTTTACTTACAGTGGACTGAAGAGTGTATAATGAGTCTTGCTGGAGGGTGTAGCTTTACTTACAGTGGACTGGAGAGTGTAGAATGAGTCTTTCTGGGAGGTGTGGCTTTACTTACAGTGGACTGGAGAGTGTAGAATGAGTCTTTCTGGGGGGTGTGGATTTACTTACAGTGGGCTGGAGAGTGTATAATGAGTCTTACTGGAGGGTGTGGCTTTACTTACAGTGGACTGGAGAGTGTCGAATGAGTCTTTCTGGGGGTGTGGATTTACTTACAGTGGACTGGAGAGTGTAGAATGAGTCTTTCTGGGAGGTGTGGCTTTACTTACAGTGGACTGGAGAGTGTAGAATGAGTCTTGCTGGAGGGTGTGGCTTTATTTACAGTGGACTGGAGAGTGTATAATGAGTCTTACTGGAGGATGTGGCTTTACTTACAGTGGACTGGAGAGTGTCGAATGAGTCTTTCTGGGGGGTGTGGATTTCCTTATAGTGGACTGGAGAGTGTAGAATGAGTCTTTCTGGGGGTGTGGATTTACTTACAGTGGACTGGAGAGTGTAGAATGAGTCTTACTGGAGGGTGTGGCTTTACTTACAGTGGACTGGAGAGTGTAGAATGAGTCTTTCTGGGGGGTGTGGATTTACTTACAGTGGGCTGGAGAGTGTAGAATGAGTCTTTCTGGGGGGTGTGGATTTACTTACAGTGAGCTGGAGAGTGTAGAATGAGTCTTTCTGGGGGGTGTGGCTTTACTTACAGTGGACTGGAGAGTGTATAATGAGTCTTTCTGGGGGGTGTGGATTTACTTACAGTGGGCTGGAGAGTGTAGAATGAGTCTTGCTGGGAGGTGTAGCTTTACTACGAGCAGATTGTTGGACTGGAGTGACTGGCTCAGGGACTATCATCAAGTCTTCTATTTGCTGGTTGATGATGCCAAGGAACAACATCACGTTGAATGTTGACACTGAAGCTTCTTCTCCTGTGTACAATTAGTTTAAATGGTTCAACTAAATTATTGACAGAATCCAAACAGCCCTGGGATGGTTAATTAGTACAGTAGAACTTTAATACACCTTAGTTCAACAGTCTGTAAACTTTGAAACAGGCCTAACTAATATGAATAGACATTAGCAGCGACCAATATAGTGTCCTTGTTGGGTTCATCGGTCAGTGACCAGACCTTGTTTTCACTAACGTGCATCACTGCCTTTTCCATAAATAACTCAACCATCCCACTTTCTATCGCGTCCTATACATCCATTTAAAAATAAACTTGTGTTTTAAAACTCCCTAATTGTTCAAATGGTCCCTATACTCCCTATAGTTTGACACCCCTTTAGTCCACAGAGTTTCAAACTATTAAGGTTATACTCTATTATTGCAGGTAGATGTTAAAGCTATGCAAGTTTAGTATACCTTTTAAAAATTATAAAAACAGATTTTTAAACATAATAGCGATTTTGGCCTCCTGTTAGGAGTGTTTTGGGGAGGCTCAAAAATGGTTCTCTTAAAAACCATAAAACAGACACTAATATTCTTAAAACAGTAAATTCCATTTCTCTTAAATTTAATCCATATATGTAGAACCATTCCATCATCCCCATTGCTCTATTTTTTTACAGATCTCAAAAATTTCTGTTATATCTCTGTTAATTTACGTATTCTCTCACTACCCTCCTTACACACGATCCTAATCGACACAATCTATTCTTTTACTTGTTGTCATTGGCTCAGTAAGGTAAAATACCTAGTAGGTGAAGGATTGGAGCTTTGTCACATCTGCTCTCTGAGAAGAGAGTTTCAACTCCCTTGAGTAGTCCGTCCAGGATGGATATGCTCAAGTTCTGTCCCTGTAGAGCCTCATGAGTGTCCTTGGTCCTGGCATCCAGGATCTCAGTTAAGGATGTGATTGTCTCCTGTTGCTGGGCTGCTCTTTCTTTGTTGATGTTCCTTTGTTCGTCTATTGACAACATCAACTCATTTGTCTGCTCTTGCAAAACTTCAAGCTGAAACAAAATTCTTTACTCGAGCTGATAGTTTAGATTTAAATGTGTAATCTTGTGTTATGGCGTATTCCATTCCTCCAAGGACCGTGTTTTTAAACCAAGCTAAACCATCTCAATGATTCATTCATTGATTGTGTGGTATCGACTTTTTTAACCAATAAAATTATTTTTTTGCATGATAAATTAAAATAATTACACAATGAAAGTTGCCAGGTTTTTTATAAAAGTCACATTCATCGTGTAGCTCTTATATAAAACTGTTACAAGCACAAAATATTCCACAACAAAATAGTCCACCAATAATGATCATATTAAAGTTAACATAAATATTGAAGATTAAAATTTAATTTTATCAGAAGCACAGAATAAAAACAATTATGAAATAATACCTCATTGTTGAGTTCATTGACATAGTTGAAGAGTGTAAAATTTTCTTCCTCTTGTTTTAAAAACCTCGCTGCCAGTCGGTCTACATCACTTTCACCAGAAAACTCCTTGATTTGTTCCAGTATTGAGTTGTACGTTGTGATAAGCTGTTCTGTCGCTTCTTTTTGTTGTTGTTTCTTGATTGCCTCCTTAGCCTCTAAATCAGCCATTATCCTCTTTTGACCTTTTATCCCAAGAAAATCTTGAAGTTTTGAGTCCAAGTCAAATCTTCTTTGCAATTCTCGCATTTCTTGACTGTGCAGTAGCAAATCGGCCCTATCTCTTTCTTTCAAAGCTTGCAGTTTGGCTTGGGCCTCTTCTCTGAAATTAGATTTGAAGAAAACTGCATCAAGTTTTTTTTAAATAATAGTTCCTATTTGAAATGTGTATCAGGACTTCCAATTGTTATTTGTTTTATGGTAATGTGTTTACTTTTTCAGTTGAAGAAAAATATAGGTAGGTACTGAAAGTGTTTACCACAATAAATATATATCAAAGATGTTACAATGACTATACATTTTGACCAATCATCATCAGGCCCAATTTGTTGGCCCAATTTGTTTATAAAACTTATAAACCCTTTATGACTTCAAAAAATGTTCCTCAGGAAGAATGAGCACTATGTATGAAAAGTGTTCCATTTATGATTTCCTATATAAAACATTGTAGATGAATATAACTAAAGATCATTATGTTTATAAATCTATTAGTCACAAAGCCTCTACAAAATCTCGAATGCATCTTACCTTTGATCATAAGCTAATGTAGCTTGTTCTATGAGATCCA